ACCGAGTGTAGGAATTTGCTTGATTATGATATTCTAAAAGCGTTTTAGGCACCTGCTCGCGTAGATTCGGCTCCCTGTGGTGAGTGTTGAAATATTGGCTCACGTAAATTGTTTCATTTTGATGCTATGCGGGGATCCACAGTGTTGATATTCTTACTTACAGACACGGGAAAGGTATTGCCTTCTTGATGGTCTCCGCCTTCAGTTGCTCTTGGATGCATATTGACGACTCCGATACATTGCAGAGGTCTGGGATTTAGTACGTTGGCACTTGCATGTCGCCGTAGCTCAGCATAATACTGCATGCCTTGTCCGCTGGTATCTGTGGACGCCCACTAACGGGCCTGGGAAAAACACCGAGAATTGGCATTTTTTTTTTTGCCGATTCTCGCTTCAACTTGACGCCAAAGTTGCGGTCGATAATTGTCTTGGCCAAGACGCTATCGTCAGGCCTTCGTCTTCGAGGTGACCGGTATACCGACCGCGCGCTGCCGCCAGTGACTCCCCCGACGCAAAATGATCCTGATGCCGCGAACCTATCGTCGAAATGCAAAGATTCCCTTTGAGGGGCATTTGCCGCTACCTTCTTGACTTCTAACCGACTGTAGTACAGAACTTCCTGGCCGAATCGAACAGACCTTGATTATGCAGCGAAACCGAAACCAACAGCTTGGCCATCTCGAAATGATTAGAAGTTGTATTCAGCACGCGTGCAGCCCGATTTCTGTTTGACCCGCATGTAAAAATGGAGCGTAGCTACGATTCACCAAACTCGTCCAAGTCAAGTGACGACATGCATTTGAACGGCTCGCCGTTTGCCTTCGACCCGCGGACGTCGCCCCTGAGGGGATGACCAGCAGCCTCATCACCGATCCAGTGGATCAGTGGATCCGCCGAAATGTGTATCCAGATGCCGCTTCGTGTACCTAAGTGCCGCTTCAGAGACGAAAACTGCATCCTTTGCTTTGCAAGCGCCCCTAGTTCGATCGGAGTCCAACGCAGTTGTGTTTGCGCGAAACGGCATACGTTTGCTCGAAGCTCATGGCTGTCTGGGAGTAATATCCTGCTAAAAGGCGTGCCTTTTTTTTTTTTGCACGTGCTTGGGAACTGCATTAAAAGAACCGTATTTCAGTAGGGTACTGCCTAGGAGACTATATAATTCTAAACAAAATACAAGACATCCATCGACCAACGCTTGTTATCCCGACCATCCGACAAACCTTTGCGTTTTGTGACGTCACGCAGCACCTACGGATGTCAGCCATTGACACTGGCGAAATTCGGGGTGCAGTTTCGTACATAGGATCATGAAAGGTTTAATTAATAAGGGGAGATCATATATCAAAATAAAAATGACGTTTGTCTATATGGAGGCTCCCTCGACGTAAGGAGCGCAAGAACTTAAGTACTTCCGGTTTCGACCGGACAATCCCTTTAAGCTTACATACGCGCTAACTTTGCTCCTGCATAGCCGAAGTGGGATTCACGGCGGTATAGCACAGACAGCCCATATTGGGCGTGCCCTTGCGTAGCCGAAGTGGGACCCACTTCAGCTGCAAGGGCAAGGGCGTGGGCATGCCGAAGTTCGGCATGCCCACGCTGTGCCCAACTTTTCCCTCTCACATTCGAGGTGGAAACCGCCGCGGCACTGCGTGAACAGTGCTGCGACTGGGAGGGGACGGTCTCAGGTGCGGAACCAGGAGTCGGGGCTGTGGCTCACTAATCACATAGCCCCGAGGAAACAGACCTGGAGTGGGAGTACTGAAGTAGAACTTTTATGTACAGTGAATATATAGGTAGCTGGTCGACGGTTTAAACAGCGTCTTTTGGGCTCCCCCAGCCCATGTTATATAGCACACCGAGGGCGAAAAGTTTCTCTGAGAAAGACGAGCCTTTCCTGGAGTTCGAGTGTTCACGTGGTGTTCGAGGAGGCTGATGCAATTGCCCTGTGTTTTTTCAGCAAGGTGGTCCGTAGCCGCTCTTGCCATGCTTCGGTTTCTGATGCAAGGCGCCGACGCTTTTGCCGCTTGAACTGAAACACAACACCGACGGACCCCCCCCCCCCCCCTCCCCCCCACACACACACACGCATAAGCCGGTGTTTTTCCTTGCGAGGGTCGTCGGTTCAAGATCGTCTCGTGGCTTCCGGAAGGCGTTATTTTTGTGTTTAGAGCCCCCAGCGAAGGCCACCACCAACCCGATGTCTCAAGGGCTCTGCGCTCTGGATAGATTAGAATAGAGTGATCTCGGGCGGTCTCCCCTTCAGCACTCCCAAACACAACAGCTCCTCCGCCGACCGGGAAACATTCTTGAGGTGCAGCAGTCTGTAACCCCGCCACTGAAAGACGTCACCTCGCCGTCTTCTCCCATCAGTCCAGGAGTCCATCAGTCGTTGCAACCTCTTGAATAGACAACAAGCCCGTGAATCACAAAACCACAAGGCTCGAAACAGCAGAAGCCAGGAAGTGTCCACTTCCCCCGAAAGACCGCAAAAAAAGAAAAAAGGATACTGAAGTCGTGTTCATCATGATTTGTTTGAAGCCCGAGCGGGGCTGTAACGTTCTGAAAAGCAAAAGATTAGAACGACTGGAAACCGAAACTCGATGGCGCTAAACCCAAACTCTTCGAAGACCCCGCAGTCTATTGAATACATGCGACTGAAAGCGTCAGTACTTGAGTTTTAACTTTATTTTTTCTAAACTACATTGAAGTTATACTCCTGGAGAGCGAAACTCCTTCTTAACATCCGCACGTTTTTTTTTTCTTTTTGTGTGTGTGTGTGTTTTGTTTTCTTTTTTTGTTTGTGACATTTGATGAAGACAGGTGAGGTGACACTCGTCCGTCATGACCGTGAGGTAACAGGACAGTTTTTGTGCGGCCCAGACTAGACAATCACACTTCTTTTCGGGTACCCTATACACCTCCTCTCGTGTTGTGAGCTTGCTGATCACGTAGAAGACCGGATGCTCCTCTCGGTACTTTATTTGGCACAACACCAAGCCCATTCACCAATCTCTCGCGTCCCACTAAACAAAAAAAAAAACGGCTGAGCGTAGTCGGGTGCTTTCAGCGCCGGCTGCTCTTTGAGCACTTCCTTCAACCCCTGGAAAGACTGCTCCCTTTTCTCACCCATAAGACCTCGTCAGGATCGTGCTCTCGCAGGGAGTCAGTAAGGGGAGTAGCTATGTGAGAGTATTTCGGTGCATAACGTGGGGAATACCCTATCAAACCCAGAAAGGAGCAAACCTGCGTCTTCGTCTTTTGTTTCGGGTATTTGTCTATGACGGCTGCTTTTTCCTTTGAGGGCCGGTAACACACCTGTCGAATCGCGTGACCTAGGTAGGGGACCTCAGCTGGCCCCAGTTGATATTTCTGGGCTTTTACGGTAAGACCTGCATCACGCAGCCTACGAAATACTTCCCTCAAGTGTGAAAGTGCATCCTGCCATGTTTCCGAAAATATCGCTGTATAATCCAGATATGGCAGTGTAAAAACTTATGTTCTACGAAGGGCATTTCTCACACTCTTAAGAAAAAAAGTAAATACGCTGCCACAACCATTCCTAGGAGAGCTACGGTAATGGAAACAACCTTTGCTCCCCTACCGTTAGCACCTCAAAGTTGAACCCCCAGGACTAACTTTTCCACCCTTGCATTTAGGCTATTGGAACTAAATGTTGCGCATTTAACTGATTTATTAATATATTGCGCCCTTACACACACAGGTGGCACTAGTCAACGTGAAATTCAAAACAGGTAGAAACTACGTTATCGCTGGGTTAGATCGTTTCCACGCTCATTACATTCCCATATGAACAACGCTTATTTCACATTTGAAGACGTATTAGACATTTTACATTTTAACATAGATAAGGAATTAGAACACAGATGGCACATGCACAACACACACGAGACGACACACACACGACGACACGCTAATTCAACCTTTTTTTTTTCTTTATTGCGAGACATTATTCAATCAAAAAAATACACTTTCAGAAAATCTTATAAAAAAAAGTGAAAGCCGTTTACAACTCCCTGTAACGCCGAATTGGAGCGCAGCACTAGAGGAGGAGGAGTGAAGGGTACTGAGGGGAGGGTAGACCCCTCCTCCTTCTGCTCCCCTCATTCTTTAATATGCTCCGGGGGGGGGGGTCACGTGACCTCGGGGGGGGGGGGGGGGTGTCACGTGACCTCGGGGAGGCGTGACCTGGGGGTCACGTGACCTTGGGGTGACCTTGAGGGGTCACGTGACATTGGGGTGTCACGTGGGGGTCACGTGACCTTGATGTGACCTTGGGAGGGGTCACGTGACCTCGGGGGGTCACGTGACCTTGGGAAAGGGACCAAGTGACCTCGGAGGGGTCACGTGACCTGGGGGTCAAGTGACCCCTCCGAGGCCACTTGACTTGGGGGTCACGTGACCTTGGGGTAACCTTATGGGTCACGTGACCTTCAGGGGGTCACGTGGCGATCACCTTGGGGGTCTCGTGACCTTGAAGTGACCTTGGGAGGGTCACGTGACCTTGGGTGACCTTGGGGGTCATGTGACCTTGGGATGAGCTTGGTTACGCCGACGGCGACGCCGATGCCGCTCAAGCCGGAAACGGGCGCCTAAGAGCTGCGCTTTAAAAGGACAAGCTGAATTACGACTGACGCAGACTGATTAACAAAATCTTAATGTGACCAGCCAGTCTAGGACTGGCAACCAGTCAGGCCCATCTCAGCACTCCCAGAACCACAACAGCAGCCCATTTGGGCATGCCCACGCTACGCCCACGTGGGACCAACGTGGATTGAGTAGGGCTACCCGAGCCCCCATCGACCATGTGGGACCCACATGGGCCCCACCTCTTGTGCTATCTGGTGCCCATCCTGCAGTTAACTGAACCTCACAACATGAAGTACTAAAGAGATATACTTTTTTTTATAAATGATAGATTCATATAAAGGGGCAGATAACACTTGTTTATTTATCGCTCGCAGTCACACTAACGAAAGTTACTTCCCTTGACAACGAGGGCACCATTCATCGATAATTCTTGATTTCGTCTTCTCCAAGTCCTGCTTCCAAGCTAAAAGAGTTGATCTCGCGGTTGAAGTGCAGATCTGTAGAGTAAGAAAATGCAACAGTGGTTTTATAGCGATCAGAACCCACATATCAGCGTTCGAATACATCTTCGATTTTCTAAATATAGTTTTCTTCTTTTTTTTATTCCGCTGCATTTCTTGTATAGTAAAATGCGCGATGAAAAGTTCACCTCATAATTGGCGTTACAATGTAATTTCTATGAATGATATTCGGATATTTGGGGTAGGAGGAGATTTTGTTTCCGTTTTTGGACCAAAAGATATACATTTTATCTACACGACAACAAATTTGAATCTAGCTCAGGTAATCTTGATAGTGACATCTTTGGACCCGAAGGAAATTTTCAGGAGTGCGTTGGTGTTTTTCTTTCACCAATATATATCGACCTTTGTTTTGTGAATTGGATGCGATCTTTTTCAGTGCACCCCTAAAAAGGCTTAGGGTTGTTTGTGCGACACTCAAAATAAAGCAATTAAACAAATAGTACACGTGCCGTGCCACTATTACTGAACTTTCACTATATAGCGAAGAGCATTAATCTCTGCCGTTAACAACCTACAAAACATGAGTACGATCTTCGTTTTACGGGAATAAAAGCCACAAAAAGAAGTTATAAGAAAACAAGCGGCGTTCACCCCCTCCACTTACAGACAAAATAAACGGCGCATGATTTCGTGTCGAATATATGCCGCCCAATGTTCATCCTAGCCACGCACTGCGGTTGGCAAATCGTATTGCATCAGATGAGCTCAAGAGATTGTTAGGGTTTGGTGGTTGCCGTCCCTGCAGCGGTTTTACTCGAATCACCACCCAAATGCTCGTCGGGGCTCACACAGTATTTGTGCCCATTCTATAAGCTCCATTTGTATATCGTTATCATAGGGTAATCCCGAGACGACGAAAACCATGCGATACCCGTTACTACGTCATTACATTTTGCAAGGAAAAAGTGGGAAGAAAAATCAATACGTATCGTGAAATTACCCCGCGAAAAAGACGTATCTTGGTCAGTGGCATTATATATGTGCGTGTATACCAACGCAGCACAAGCGCAAGTAAGCGTGTTTAAAGGGAAAACCGTGCCTATACAATATCGTTCCTTTCAAGGTGAGTGCGCTGGTTTATTGCAAGACACTTCAGAACGGGTTAAATATAAAAAAGACGGACAGCACGTCTTTCGAAAGATGTGGTTTCCGTGTTTTGTCATATATATTTTTCTCCATATCGTTCCCCTGACCTTCCAATATTAGTTTCAATAGTTGCTCCTATCGCTGTTGCTGCTACTTCAGTATTGTTGTTTTTATCCCGCTCGTACTTTTTGATAAAAATGAAATCACCGATATGTTATTATGTAATATATATTTTGGTATGTTATTGCTTATCTGTGAAAAACAACTGGCAGGACGTGTAATAATGTTTAAGAAGTTCGCCTCATCAACAGGTTGAAAGACGGACGGTATTGCACGTGGCCGCTGCCACTCGGTCTGTATCCACCAGTGTCTGACGGGAGGGTCGTTCGGGTGAACGCAGCACTGAGAAGCTTCGGGAATTCTGGCCAGACCGTCAAGTTCAGGGTACGTGGGTGAAACTTCCTACCAGCAGAGGCACCTTGGGCTTTTCTTGTCTACGTTGGGCGCCAGAGGTGGTTTTTTTGCTCACCGCTTGACCGGAGATAGGGGCCGAGTCATGGTGGAGGCTTTCATTATCGAGCCTTGTGTTCGACGGCTTGCGCTGCCATGGCTGAATTGTCCTGTTATTTTTCACGTGCCTCGTGTCCCGTTCCTTGGCCCGCGATCGCAGCACGAGCGCCCGCCGCATCTTGCCTAAATCATATACGTGCACATATCCCCGGAATCTTTTGTAGTATATCGCGACTTCAACTAAACGAACGGCACATAGAGTTGTATATTCCAACCTGCCCTGTGAGGGTCTCGCCCTAATTCATTCTTATGCGGCGAGATTCTTGGCCGCGTGGTGGTGAAGAAACCAAGCTGCTTAGTGAGGGCCTGAAAGCATTTGCTTGGAGTCACAGATAGGTGTTATATAACAGGTGTTTTTCTTCTTGTGAAATATCTGGCAGCAGCTTTGAAAAGTATTTAGACATTTAAATTAATGTTTATGCTAACTGCGTGCACGCTGTACACTGAGATATACCCAAACATCGGATCATCGGCATACACAAAAGGAAGGCGACTTTGAGCATCTTGCCAAATAAACTCAATGGAATCACATATGGTCAGGCAGATATAAGAATGGTTCACCTATTAACGCTGCAAATCTGTAGAGAGCCGGTCAAACCCACATGTGTTATGTCTAATCAAATATCAGTGCCAAAATATTTTGACGTAAAATGTGCCCTCAAAAAAGTGGAAGGTAACGATAAATATTTTTTTAACTTATGAAATAAAAGTTGTATAACGTGTACCTGCGAGAAAAAAAACTACAAAGGCAGTAAAAACATTGTCTCGTAACTTACCACTTTATTGCCGTAGCATACCCTTGGCATAGGCAGCCTACCACCATTGCATATCAACTCGCACGATCGAGTATCATAATTTTCGAAATTCTGAAATCATTAACATATAATGTCACGAATAAAACGTGAAAGTATCAACTTGAGAGTAAAAAAATAGATGTCGAATAAGTTGTGTCGGCCTGGAGTTGAGCCGGTTGGTTCGGCATGCTCCCTTGAATACCAGCTGAACGTAGAGGAGAAGCGCTTTTACTCTACGTTCGTCTGGTATTCAAGAAAGCATATAGAATAAGCTAGAACTTAAAATAATAAAAGTAATTAACTAGCGTCTCTTGCGTCGATGTCGGTGTAACAGCATGATCTGAGCCACGCAGTCCCTGGAGACTGCTCCGCCGCCTTATGTACCCGGCAGTTCAAATACACTTTTTCGTACGTGGCCGTCTCCGGATTTACGAAGGTTACGCGTATGTTGATGTGTTCCTCTCAAGTTCCAGGAATGTACTTCCAGATAAAGAACACTGGTACAAGAAGAATATTTGAGGGCGTCACTAAAACAGCCTCGGTCCAAGCAAGTGTCAGTGTGGCTAACATTCTTCAAAAGAGGTGTTCGCAACTCTCATTCACTTACTTTTCCGCATCACTCACTTACTTTACCGCATAATTCACTTACTTTACCGTACCCTTTTCCACAAAAATGGTGTAACATTTTTTTTTCAAAATTAGAAGGTGTTCTTTGCAACAGCAGCCTACTTTTTGACCGAAAATGGTGTACTAGGTCAAACAAGGGTGCTAAAATCCTGTAGCCATATCTGTACGTGTTACTCTCTACTCACTCAAAAAGTACGTTACTTGTTACTGCGAATCAAAAGGAACGCGTTAGCTCAGCCTGGAAGTAACGCGTTGTTTTATCGTTGTTCCGAACGTGTTGCTTTTTGTCAGCAGTAGACGCTTCCCACATTTGTCGTTAATAGTTCCTTGATATTCAACGCGTGTATTTGGGGAAAACTGTGTCTATACTCACATACCTTCTGCACATTTTTATGGTCTGCCTAGTGTTTCCTCGTCGTGCGGAATACAGGCGCATAGTAAACCTTCTCCTACAGACATAACTAAATACCGTTACTCGTTACTTCATCAAAAAGTAGCGAGCAATCTTATTTACTTATCTTAAAATGTATCCAGGTCGTTACTTTGTTACTTACAAAGTAACATGGTAAAAGTAACTCGTTACTTGTAACGTGTTACGGACAAGTCTGGTGGTTTTATGCAAGTGAGAAATGAAGCCTAATCTCAGCGGAAAAAAACCCACAAACTTCAAGCATTACTAGGTGTCTGATGCGTGACCAAAAATCCGCCTGGTTTGGGTATCGAACCCAGGACCTTTGTCCTTTGTCCTTCAAGCACTCCTTCGTGCAAATTATTATGAGTTGATGTCTACAGACATTTCTATGAATATAATAACTACATCATTCTGCTCTTTTTAACCAGTAAAACATTCTATATATGTAACGGGCATGGTGGCGGGAGGCCGAAGGTGTGCGTATTTAACTGGGAAGAAAAACACCTTTGGTGAAAACAGCAACAACGGACGATTTATTCTTCGACGTTTCGGCCGGAGTCCTGACGAAGGCCGGACTCCGGCCGAAACGTCGAAGATTAAATCGTCCGTTGTTGCTGTTTTCACCAAGGTTTTTTTTCTTCCCAGTTATATATGGGCGGTTTCATTCGGATTCAGGCAACGAGGTGACGTCATATTTTTATTTTGCTTCAAATTTTTATATTTCGTGGCGCATGTTCCAAGAAGAACAATCCTTTTTTTTAAATGTCCTAACATGTTTAGTTTAAAAAAAAAAAATCTCAAATAAGCGGGAAAGGACGACGAGCTTTTGACGATTGTCGTGTGTGGCGTTTTTGAATCACTCTCAATCTCAAAATATTAAAAATAGAGTGTTTATACTTTTAATGTAGTATATATGCAAGTAGGTAAAACGACATTATAACTGCTAGTTATCATTCGTCAATGCAATCTCCGTAAAAACTACCAAACATGCCTTTGCGAACAACTGTAAGCTAAATTGGGGATTTTTTTTGGCTTTTTTTTTTTAGTCGACTATGTTTAGTATCGCTTTTAAAATAATACCATGTGTAGAATCTTTCATTGCCTTCCAAATTAATCAAACTTGGCGCCTTTATCACGCACGAGTACTGAGAAATAAATTATGAAACAGAGAAGGTTTTCACTTTTCGTTCAATTTCAACAGGCTGTATAGAAAAAACATTTTTAATTTTTTTCTTAATTTTTCTCGCGTCGCGTTTTCTTCACAACCTTCTTTTTCCCAGAATACATTCCGTTAGAGGTATTTGCACTGGTTTTGTGTTTTAAGCCTCTAAATATGCTAAAAAAAATAGCAAATGCCAAAGGTGGGTTTTGACGATTGTCGTGTGTGGCGTTTTTGAATCACTCTCGACCTCAAAGTATTCAAAAGAGAACTTCTGTATTTTTTTATTGTGATATATATGCGAGTCGTTAAAACGACATTCCAACTACTATTTATTATTCGTCGATCCAATCTTTGTAAAAATCCTCTAACATGCCCCCGCAAACACCTGTGATCTAAACTGCGGATATTTTTGATTAGTCGGCTATGTTTAGTTTTGTTTCTAAAATAATACCACGTGTAGAACCTTTCAACGCCTTCCACATTATGCAAAGTCTGTATCTTAATCACGTACGAGTACTGAGAAATAATTTATGAAAGAGGGAAGGTTTTCACTTTTTGTTCAATTTCAGCTTTAAAACAAACAATTTCCTTTTTTGCGTCAAGTTTTTTTTTTTACACCCTTCTTTTAGCCAGCGTACATTCCTTAGAGCTATATGCAGTAGTTTTGAGTTTTAAGTCTCGAAATACGCTAAAAAAAAGAGCAAATGCTGATAATGGGTTTCTGGGTTAGCTGTATATTTTATTTTTTATTATAATAATCTAAGGTACGTTTAATAAATAATCATATTAAAGACCTTCATGTCGTTAGGCGTATAGTAACAAGTTTGCAATTCCGAAAGTCTAAACACACTATAAAATCGCAATTGCCGAAAGCGGGTTTTCAGACAATTTCCGCAGGTGCCATGATTGGAGGGGCCTCAAGCCTGAGCCCTATGCGTTACATAATCTATACTAGGTTAGAAATATCAAAGTATAATATTGTAGAACATTAGCGTAAAATAACTTTCTATTGGAAACCTTGATTTTTAAATGCGAAAGTTTATACTTTAATGCGAAATTCATGTTGATAAGAAAAAGAATAATTTTTTAGTACATTTAGAGGCTTAAAACTCACAACCAGCGCATATACCTTTAACGGAATGTTTTCTGGGTAAAAGAAAGGTGTGAGAAAAACGCAACGCGAAAAAAAAATGTTTTTTTTTTTTTTTACAGCGTGCTGATATTTAACGAAAAGTAAAAACCTTCTTTGTTTCATAATTTATTTCTCAGCACTCGTACATGATAAAGGCACAAATTTTGCTTAATTTGGAAGGCAATGAAAGGTTCTACACGGGTGGTATTAATTCAAAATCTATTCTAAACATAGTCGATTAAAAAAAAAATCCGCAGTTTATGTCACAGTTGTTCGCGGAAGCATGTTTGGGGATTTTTACAAAGATTGGATGGACGAATAATATATAGTAGTTGAAATTTCGTTTTACTGAATTGCATATATATCACAGAAAAAAAATATAGACGCTCTCTTTTGAATACTTTGAGATTAAGAGTGATTCAAAAACGCCACACACGGCAATCGTCAAAACCTAGTCATGCTTTCCCGCTTCTTTGAGATTTTTTGCTCAGAAACTAAACATGTTAGGACATTAAAATAAAAAGGATTGTTTTTCTTGCAACATGCGCCACAAAATATAAAAATTTGAAGCAAAATAAAAAAATACGACTGCACCCCGTTGCCTGAATCCAAATGAAACAGCCCAGATATAGGGTGGCCCAAGTCACGAGGCTCGATCTAAAATGGACCGTAAAAATCCACGTCTGCACGCAGCAATCTAAACTTTTCGTCAAATATGTATATCACAGGTCGGTTTTCTCTGGTAAAATTACAAAGCGTAGTTCTCTTTCTGTAAAAATAAGGCCAAGAATTACTTGCAGTTCTAGCCTCTTTAATACCTACCGCGTTCAAGGTTTTCAGCCTACTAGCTTCACCTGACACTAGTAGAACGGACGCTATAAATAAAGTCTCGTCCATTTATTAAATGTCCTATGTTTACGCGATGCGTCATTATGTTGGTAACATTGTCAGGATTTTGTAACATGTTGCGGCTTTCCATACCAAACCCACTATTTTCATAGGAAACGCTTTTAAACGATTAGTCTTCGCATTCTAAAAACAAGGAAGTCCCTTTGAACAATCTAAAAATACATTATTTACAAGTGCCACTGTTTGGTGCCTTCAAAGACTTACATTCAATTGCCCGAGTTCGCATTTTACCATTCCACCCGCAATAATGAGTTCCACACACTCGTCGCGAGTTCCGGCAGGAAACAAAAATCCCCCTGTAGAAAAAAAAAATTGTATGAAGCATTTTAAAGAAAAAACAGAAAACATTTTATTTAATTTTGTTTTCTTTTTAACTTCTGATTTCACATTACAGCTGCTAGAAGCACGTTTATCGCCTACATGTATGATAAAATGCATTCAAATACCATTGCTTTAATTTCGTTTTTTTATGTGTATAAAAACGTGGATTTGTTAGAACCGTCTTTTTGACCACTAATGTTACTGACATTATTTTATATTAAGAATGTTCTTGACAATGTGCGCTCTTTGTGATTATCTTTAAAAGCGAATTTGTTTTTATTGTACAGATTCCGAGTATTTTAAATAAAAAAGTAAATAAATAGGAATTATCGCAGTGCATCGACTGCTATACTGCACGTTAAAATCAATCTTAAGGTATTTATCAATTTCCTCCGGGTTAACCTTTCATTATTTGAAGAAAAAAAAAATAAGGCCACCCTTTTCATTAATGTCATTTATTACCATAGGATATTATTAATTTTAGGTCAGCAAACAAACATTTTTAAAGGCCGGTTTGCAACTCTGGCCATTTGCATAAAATATCCAGTAATGTCTATGAACACCATAACTCCTGTTATTTTGAACACTAGACGTCAGGTTATATTTTTTATACCTTTGATCGGTTAATTTTCTGTCCAGCTATCAAAAATTCAATACCTCAGGGTGTCGCGCCCGCTTCTTTGAAACGTCCAAATAATCGAATTTCTTGAATGGATATAAACACAAAAGATGTGTAGTTAAATAGTGTAGCGTGCGTCATTCTATTGAATGTTATCTGCAGCACAAATGTCCTTTCTGTCATATGCATATGAACACTGCTCGTTCCTACCTCGTCAAATACCTGACGTTCTAGCGCATTGCTTGAAATAAGAAGTGACGTTCAAAGAGCAGCGGTGGCGACCAATCATAAATGTTCCTCAAAGTGTATAAAACACTGACAAAATCATTTCGAGAGGAATCCCAAATTACGTATTGTATTTATATTATTTTTTTATTTATCAAAACTACTAATTGTTATTTGAGGATTTTTGTAGGGTGGTGCAAAACACAGATGCTTAATCATAACACATACAAAATGTCCCCATCAAAAAAAAAAGAAAAAGATAATCATGTTTTTTACTGCAAAAATAAAATATGAATCGCCAATTGTTGATGCTCTGTTCAAATGTACCAATGGATATCCAAACCAGATGCCAAACTTTCAGCACGAGCTGATATTTTATTCAAAATTGATGTGATTTTCTGAAAATTTCAATTTTCGCCCGTTTTCTGTTTCTGACACTATTGAGCGCCATGTATCTGAGAGCTTCGTCAGCCGCCATTTTCCCCTTGAAAATTCCAGAAAATCACTTATAACTCTTGAATAAGTCACCGGATAATGCTGAAAGCATCTGGTCCGGACCTCTAGAGCCCATTTTTGGTGGGAAAATAGCGTTCACTAATGCGAAGTTTATTTTTGCAATAAAACAAAAGTTTTTTTTCTTGGGGGAGGGGGGGGGGGGGGCACCCTGTAGTTATACAGAAAAATTGGTTTTGAATCCTCTAATTCGACTTACCGCTTTGAAGTGCCGGTAGAATAAGCACCACGACGAAGAGTATAAACTGCATGTTGCTTATATTGCAAGATATAATCGCAGTCTGACGGCAATGTCCACCTAAAATAGTAAAATTCACATAAATACAGCCTCGAAACTCGACAACGCTTCTTTTTCTCAGAAGTAGATACAAAATGTAAAGGTCGCTCAAAAAACTCTAGCGAAATATAGATGGTAGTTAATTTTTTTATATATATAAAACTTTCACCTTGCACTTAAAATCCACCCTTGAATATGTCTAAGAAAAATCTCAACACGTTCATTTTCTTTCCTAAGTTTGCGACATTTTAAAGGCTTATTGTTTCAAACCGTTCTTCCTAATCACTTTTAGAGTGATAACTTCAAGATACCACATGTTAACTCTCGATCACCCCTTCGTCGTTCTGAGCGATACGTGTTGTTTCGTCTTGTCACGAAGAACGGACACAGTGTTTGAAATATCCATGTGCCTTCTTTTTTTAACAATTTGCCGCTCGGTTTTTATAGTTTGAACTCACGAAACAGCCCAAGCATCTTCTTTGTTGTATTGGTGAAGCGTCCTGACTTTGTTGTGATCTATCTATTCGTGATTGTCTGTGTGAGTAGGCCTGTTATGCCTTTTTTTTTTCAAGGAGAAAGTCTTAGTTGTCGCATTACGCAAAAAGGGGCGGCGTTATGCCCGAAAGATGGCCACACCAATCATAGCCTCCTCTATATTGACAAAGCCTGGCGGATCGCCACGTGACGCGTCCGCCGAAAGTGAAAAGGTAGAGCGGCAGACAAGAGTCATGTAACGCGCGCCCCGCTGCGGCGAGACGCCGAAACATACTTGTCCCGAGCGATGGAATGTCCGCTCGTGGTTCTCGATCGCGTTCCTAGGGCTACCACTTCTTTTCTCGTCGAGTTTAAAAACCATGTTTCCGGTCCTCGCCACTGCAAAAGCTGTGCGCTGAATACTCAAACCCATTTATACTGAACTCGCCAAAAAAAAGTCTCCCTGTTTGATATAGAGGGTAATTCGATATAAAAGTTTTAATGAATTTGACTCTCAAAAGTCCACTTTCTGCTGACATATTACAAAATGAAATAGTCTGGCATCTTCTGCTGCTTTTTCTTCATTGCATCCGCGATTACGATATTTTTCTACGCTATATACGGACTCTAAAAATTTTGAGGCCGCTGCCTTCTATATTCGCGCATTAGCGCCGAATTAGGCCGAGAGTACGTCCGAGCAGTGCGCCATTTTGCTCTGCAAGTTGGCTTTCCCATAAGGCAGCCGGCACGTTGGGGAAAAGCAGCTAGCAGAGCAAGCTGGCTTCTTTTTTCTTTCGGGCGTCCGCGTCAACCACCCGGTAGAAAAGATAATATTCTCTTTTGCAGAGGGAGCGGGGAGAAGGAGCACGGAACACCCCCTTCCCGCTTCCTCCGCAAGAGATTTTTTTTTCTATCGGGCGGTCGACGCGGTTTTCCGAAAAAAAAAAACCCGTGACGAGAGGCACGTCGGACGTATCCGGAACGTCTAAAGGTACGTCAGACGTACCTTTAGACGTACCATTAGACGTACCCGGAACGTCTATTGGTACGTCAGACGTACCTTTAGACGTACCATTAGACGTACCCGGAACGTCTAATGGTACGTCGGACGTATCCGGAACGTCTAAAGGTACGTCGGACGTATCCGGAACGTCTAAAGCTACGTCAGACGTATCCGGAACCTCTAAAGGTACGTCGGACGTATCCGAAACGTCTAAGGTACGTCGGACGTATCCGAAACGTCTAAAGGTACGTCAGACGTATCCGGAACGTCTAAAGGTACGTCGGACGTATCCGGAACGTCTAAAGGCACGTCGGACGTATCCGGAACGTCTAAAGGTACGTCGGACGTATCCGGAACGTCTAAAGGTACGTCGGACGTATCCGGAACGTCTAAAGGTACGTCGGACGTATCCGGAACGTCTAAAGGTACGTCGGACGTATCCGGAAGGTCTAAAGGTACGACGTATCCGGAACGTCTAAAGGTACGTCGGACGTATACGGAACGTCTAAAGGTACGTCGGACGTATCCGAAACGTCTAAGGTACGTCGGACGTATCCGGAACGTCTAAAGGTACGTCAGACGTACCCGGAACGTCTAATGGTACGTCGGACGTATCCGGAACGTCTAAAGGTACGTCGGACGTATCCGGAACGTCTAAAGGTACGTCAGACGTATCCGGAACCTCTAAAGGTACGTCGGGCGTATTCGGAACGTCTAAAGGTACGTCGGACGTATCCGGAACGTCTAAAGGTACGTCAGACGTATCCGGAACGTCTAAAGGTACGTCGGACGTATCCGGAACGTCTAAAGGTAAGTCGAACGTACCTGGAACGTCTAAAGGTACGTCGGACGTACCCGGAACGTCTAAAGGTACGTCGGACGTATCCGGAACGTCTAAAGGTACGTCAGACGTATCCGGAACGTCTAAAGGTACGTCGGACGTATCCGGAACGTCTAAAGGTACGTTGGACGTATCCGGAACGTCTAAAGGTACGTCGGACGTATCCGGAACGTCTAAAGGTACGGCGGACGTATCCGGAACGTCTAAAGGTACGTCGGACGTATCCGGAACGTCTAAAGGTACGTCGGACGTATCCGGAACGTCTAAAGGTGCGTCGGACGTATCCGGAACGTCTAAAGGTGCGTCGGACGTATCCGGAACGTCTAAAGGTACGTCGGACGTATCCGGAACGTCTAAAGGTACGTCGGACGTATCCCGAACGTCTAAAGGTACGTCGGACGTATCCGGAACGTCTAAAGGTACGTCGGACGTATCCCGAACGTCTAAAGGTACGTCGGACGTATCCGGAACGTCTAAAGGTACGTCGGACGTACCCGGGACCTCTAAAGGTACGTCGGGCGTATCCAGAACGTCTAAAGGTACGTCGGACGGGTCTGGAACGTCTAAAGGTACGTCGGACGCATCCGGAACGTCTAAAGGTACGTCGGGCGTACCCGGAACGTCTAAAGGTACGTCGGACGTATCCGGGACGTCTAAAGGTACGTCGGACGTATCCGGAACGTCTAAAGGCACGTCGGACGTATCCGGAACGTCTAAAGGTACGTCGGACATATCCTGAACGTCTAAAGGTATTTCGGACATATCCGGAACGTCTAAAGGTACGTCGGACGTACCCGGAACGAGCAGTCTAAAAGTACGTTCGACGTATCCGGACCCCGGAGCCTTAAGATACATGTCGGACTTGCGCGGAACCGAGAGATGCGTCGGACATAACCGCGATTGGGGAAGGATCGTGTCACAGCGGGTCATGCGTGCCTTACTCAGTCCCCACTGGCAATTTTCATTTCATCTTTATTTCTCAGTGCTGCCGTAATTAGTCCATTCTAAGCACTTCTCTCTTTTCATACCCGCGACGTTCAAGAAGGGGGAGAGGGGAATGCGGCTATTTACATTTGGGAAATGCTCCAGAATGACAAAATTTGTGCGAGAAATATCAATTTTTATAGAAAATTCATTAGATAAATTCCACAGAAGAAATAATTCCAACCCTGGAGAGAATTAGTCCGCTCGCCGTCAATTCTCACTGCGAACCACGGTCAACCAGTTGCTCTCAATACGACTCGACGAGTCCTCAATGGCCCCGTCTAGTTAGCTGCATACAAACTCGCGAATTTTCTTCTGGAGTTCCGGATGTCGAATTTTTCATTATTGCGCCATCCCGTACACCTTTTACGGGTCGCAGCTCCCTTGAATACCTACTCTCGCTGTCTTCTCCACCGCATCACAAGGTATCGCAGATGTTTCTACAGTGCCGTGGTTCCCATTGCCTTTCGCGTACGTGACCATCGTTCTCTCTAACTTCACTGCGTACAAGGTCCTCTTCACACTCATGGTGGACAGCAAAGTTCTCAACGCCTGAACAAATGGCCTGACCCACGTAAAGAAAAAAAGAGGCGCGCTTGCAAGTCAGACGACGGAGTCGAACGAAGGGCGACGAAACAGAAACAGAACACAAAACGCCTTACTTGTGCCTATATCCTAACGCGCCTGCGCGATAGCGCAAGTGGCGTTGTGTGCCGCCATCTACCCACTGATGACGAAACCGAGTGCTAGGGACCAGAAGATTGTGTGCTGCAAGCACGTAAAGGTGGGCACAAAAATAAAAGCGCGGATAAGACGTGCAAAAAGAAGTGGAAAGGAAACAAGCGACGTTCTGGACGCTCAGCCTTGATGAAGAGCAGATATCGCATGTCTCCGATCTCTTATTTCTTGTACGGAATTGGGATGCTTACAATATGTTCGACGTATCTTTAGACTCGACGTTCCCGATACGTTTCACGTACCTTTAGACTTCTCGTTCCGGATACGTCCGACGTACCTTTAGACTCCTCCTTCCAGGTACGTCCGAGGTACGTTTAGACGTTTCGGGTACGTCCGATGTACCCTTTCGACGTACCTTTAAACACGGCGAGAAACAAAAGCTAGCGTGCTCTGTAAGCTGGCTTTCCCCCACTGCGACCAGACGATTTGGGGGAAAGCCGGCTTGCAGAGCAAAACGGCGCTCTTGGCAGTTCGATATATCGGTACCGGCTGCTAGTTTTGTTCGATGTAACCGTAGTTTTTGCTATATAGTATCACTGTAACATTACTGTGCACAAACATTGTTCGATATAATGGATAATTCGATGTAAACGGGTTCGATATAGTCGGGTTTGACTGTACCAGACTCCCCGAGAATCGCTCTGTGCTACCAGGTCCTCGCGCTCCAAATCTGCGACCAGGCACTCTATGGCTCCGTCACCGAACTGCCAGGCTTTGTGACTACAGAGGAGACTATGCACCAATACATCATCAAGCACGCGCCTCAGAAATAAAACACAAAGAAAAGCACAACAACGAAGATGCTCTGTCACGAAAACCGGCAGGGGCTCTCAAGGTCAATGCGGACAGCAATAAAACGCAAAGCATGGCAAGGCAGATGCTTCGTCACGGGCGCCTGCGCAGTGGGGGAGCGTGATGTCACCGCCGGAGCGCC